CCATCCCGAAGGGAAGACCCAAGCCCTTATGAAGGGTGAGGATTAATAAGCCACAAAGTATTCAAGTGGGGCACTACTCTATATAAGTTGGAAGCACTGCAGTCGGTTTCCTTTTTAGGGGTGGGAGCTACTCTTGAGCACGTCTTTGGGTAGCCCCTCCGACACCACCCTAGTCCATGCTCACTCCCACCCAAAGCCCTTCAACCCCAGTTTTAACCTCAAGTCAGTTTAGAAGCACTACTAAAGAGTTCTTTCAAAACTGATTTCTGTACCTCATTATCCCTACTATACTTTTGGACCCCCCCCCTGGAGACACACGCTTTGGACTCGGTCTTGATTTCGATCTCAGACTCGACCTCGGACTCGTCCTTGGACCCGATCTCGAACTCAATCTTGGACCCGACCTTGGACTCTATCTTAGACCCGATCTTGGATCTCAGACTCAGTCTCGAACTCAATCTTGGATTCGGTCTCAAACTCGGTCTCGGACTCGGTCTCAAATTCGATCTCGGACTCGGTTTTAGAGTCGGTCTTGGACTCGATCTTTGACTTGGTCTCATCTGATGAACTCTTTATCATTTTGGTCATGCTTTCAGGGATCCTTTAGCCTTCGATACCTCGGGGAGTTAATTCCTTACAATTAACAAGTAGAGTAACCATATCTTCATGTTAAACCACTAGTATACTAAAATAGCACTAGATTTTGTTTAGCTTTATTTTATGTGTTAATTTTGGCATTGAGGTACTAAAACCTCAAAGATTATTTTGGAGTTGCTTTGTGCTCATGTTTCTATGCTCTTTGGCTATATGCTCAAGTGTTATTCAATACTCTTATTCCTTCACTTCTTATTTGTATGATTGGGAATTATTGTGTGCTTCTATACTTTTACTCCTTGGTTGTATGCTTGGGATTTGAGTCTTGCTCCATTGCTTTTGGCACACATGTTCAAGGGTTAGATTTTGCTTCATGGTTATTGTGTTGTATAAACTTTTGCTTAGGCTTATAAAAATGGATTTGAGATGTACTATTTGTATGAGTTTACTTGGGCTCATGACTGAAGTATATTAACAACTTAAAGTCACATATTAAGTTGGCAAAATTAGTGTTAGCCTTTTAGTAGTTATCATATAAGCTATTACCATGTTATTATAGGTAAGCCTTGGGTTTGACATGAGTGGCAAATAAACTAGTCTATAAGTATATAATATGACACTAGTTGATCATTTGATTATGAGTGGATCAAACAAGACTATAGGGATTAGTCTATAATTCAAATAATCATTGCCATATTCTTTCATAAACTCTTCTTATAGGATTGAAAGCAGTGTGAATGCAAGTTTAAGGTTTAATTAAAGTTGAGGCCAAAAAGAGAGTCATAATAGACAAAGGATCAAACATGTAAATCATTTTTCTCTAAAAAATGATTTGCAATAAAATGTGATCTCATTACTTGTGTTTATGTCATCTGATCAGGAGTCTCTACTTCAATACATATTGGTTATAGTGATTTTACAAGTGGTGTGCTATAAGATGGATAACAAAGAAGTGTTAAACCATTTTGTTTAGGCTTGTTAATGGAAAGTTAATGTTGTAATGCTTAATTTTTCGCAAGAAGCCTTACTATTACTCTTTGAGTAGCTTGGTGTTAGATTATTTTTGAGTTTGGTTGGAAAGTAGGTGATATCAATTTATTTATATTGTAAATAAAACTAATGGTGTTATATTTATTAGTGGGATGTGGCATTTATGTTTTATTTTATCAATTAAAGTTGTTACTTGATAATATGATAAATCTTTGTAGTAATATTATGAGCTTACTCATTGTATTGCTCAATTTGATGATCAAATTATTGTGATTCTATATCATATTTTAATGTTCATGAGCAATGTATTTATGAAGTTATTTATTCAAACAATAATCAACCCCAAATTGGTTGATAGTGATGTCTACTTGCAAGTAATAACATTGTAATAGCTTTGATTGAGTTTTCAAAGGTGATCCATTATACTAAACTAGAGTTAGTACCTTAGTTCCTATTCATTAGGTTTTGAAAAGGTTTTAACATTCATTTATTATACATTGTCAATGAATTTATTAGTATTTAAAATAGATTATTGGATAGAGAAGGTGTGTAGTTGAGATGTTAACATCACTAACACTTATGTTAGTGAAAGTTATAGAATTATATTGAGTGAGGAGAACTTTTCCTTAGAACTTGATTTTTTATGTTATTTTTCTTGTTAGTGTTTAACTTATACTTGATCTTGAAGGTGATTGAAAAAGAATGTTAGTGAAATATTTAGTATTTATAATTAAATTTTAGGTATTTATTATGATATTAATGTTGAATATTTAAGCATGTTATTAAATACTTTAGTATTTTATTGGGTCATAAGAATTTGTGTTAAGGTGAACCTATGTGATGTTGTAAATAAAAAGAAGTTGGTTAAGTCTTAAAAATTTGCATTCTTAGTCTAAGAGTCATTCTTTCTTTAGGATAGAAAATTTTTCACACATTTTTTAGACTTTTTTAATGGTTGATATATTATTTATTTTGCCTAAAAACCATTCTATTTTTGTAAACTATTACAAACTAGTGAAAGGGTTGGAATTGACTTCAGTTAGATTAGACTTTAGTAAATAGTTTATATACTTAAAAGGGATGCTAACTTTTAGGGTTAAGACAATTGAGTTGAATGAAATTTAGAGTTGAAGTAGAAAAGTGGTTATTACATTTTTCTAAGAAAATGATTTTTATACTTTTCTTCTAAATATTATGCTCAATGGTAAGTTACACTTTGCATTTGGTATGAGAATAGTGAGCTCTCATTGATTTTGACTTGGTTTTGGTAGCCCTATGCATTTGGTTGGTTGAGGATAATGATGTGTAACTTAATTATTTGTGGTTGAGGTGTTAGTACTCGTATTATAATTTTATCCATTAGGAAGTTGTGTACATATATGAGCTAATTTAATAGTCTTCACTTTAGTTTTGCTTAGTGTTGATTATTTATAATTAGCCTCTTCAGTTATACTCAAAGTTATTGGCTAAATGTATTAGTGTTTATTGTTGTACAATTAAAGTCAAGTAGTCACGTTATCTGTACTTAACCCACTAACCTTGACGTATTCTCCCTTGTAAAATCAAGCATCCTCTTATCCCATTTGAAGCTTTGACCATAATCATTTATAAGCTTGGTGATTACTGAAGCACTTCGAATAAAGCATTGCATTGTTGTTAAAATTTGTAAGAAGCTCACTAAAAACATAAGTTCCATACCATTAAGAAAAGTGCTAATACTCTTGAGCTTTCCACCATTGATGTGCTTTCCTGGGTCAACCAGCTTTCATCAGACTTAGAGCATCAATTTCAGTCTTTATTCTACTATTTTCTGTAAGCCCCTAACCTTTACTCGTTCCTATAGTAGCTCATTTGTCTCCTTAAGAACCTTGAGAGCAATAATGTGTAATGTAATGTAAATAGAGGCAAAAAAATCTTGCTGAAATCTTGCTGATGATGTAGTCAAAATATGACCTTTAACACCAGCAATTGTAGCATCTACAATATTGCCCAATTGCAAACAACAAACCCCTGTAAGCACACTTAGCATCATTCATGGTGGATTTAAACATCTTCATATGTGTTCCCCTGTTATTATTCACCACCAACACCTTTGACAAGGAACAACACCACCTTCTACAGAAAAGAGTCAAATATAAAAATAAGTAAGAACGAAAAAATATTGAGATTGCCAAATGAAAGCTTGAGGAGTTAACATTCAGCTACGTGATCAGTTGTGATAGCATAAACAAGGCTCCATAGCATACACTAAAATGGCAGTCCAAGAACTTTCATACCATAAAAAACTTCAACTCCCACATAGAAAAACTCCTCAAATTCTGCAATAACATGTTCAAAAACAGTATCTAAAGAGTACACACCTTCTAGTTTTATGACATCCTTGCAAATATACAGAACAGACAGTACAAGCTTCTCCACTGCAGCTATTCCACTGGCTCCACCATTAAGCATTGTAATGCATATGAGTTATGCATTTTAGTCCTTGTGCCTGAATCCTGGTTGAAATGAGCTTGGCAGAAAGCAATGTGAAGGTCTGGCCATGCACGAATGTATTTGCTGCAGTTTGGACAACAAGCTGGCAGCTCCCAGCTTTTCTTCTCATTGAAAACGTTTTTATACTCTTGGAACTTCGCACTATACCAGATTTCACAAATTGTTGTTGAAACTTGATTGTTGTCTCTCAGTATAATAATAATAATAATAATAGTAATATATAATTCACACCTTCCTTAGTTCGCCACAAACCTTGCAAGCTTCTGCTGCTTTCCATTCACTCTCATGGGATATGGAGGCATGTCTTTGTGAAAACAACCAACATGCCTCTCCATCTTTGATTTTCCCAAATGCCTATATAAATTTTGTCGACTGCATCCCAAATTTCAGGAATTCAAATCCCTGGCACTATCTCAATCAAACTTCAAATGCTATGCCCCCTATTGTCACCTGAAAAAAGTATCTTCAACACTTTATCCATGCAATTTTGTGAGCCATCCAATGTTGCAAGAAGCTTCATATTTTTTTGCAAAGCATGATCTTTTATATGTAGCATGTTTGTGGCTAGAGTAAGAAGAATTTGCCCACTCCCACCTTCATGTTGATTAAAATCCTTTGGTAGATCAGGGCCAACCATTTGAGCATCTTCTATTTGGAAGTAGCACCAGGTGAGAAGATCTACTACCCTCCACAACTCTAAGGATGTGTCTACTGTAATAATTTGCTGAGAAAAATCATCCATCAAAATGCGTTGCTAAACAAGTAGAGCATCTACACAGAATCTTTGCTCGAGATGATGAACTCTCACCCTCTTTTGCTTTAGCTTCTCGACGCAGCAGCCGACTAACCCATCTGCCTGCTTGTATCTCGGACTGAACACGCAAAAAACCTTTGTTCGTAAAACTTCCTATCATATTCAGGCATTAAAGTGAAATTAATTACAATGCCCTAGAGCGGCATGGCGATGGCTGGAGGAGTGGAATTCGCGAGGGTACGTCTCTGATACGATATCAGTCTCGAATCCTTCTGACCGCAGGTGAGCGCATTCACGGATGATCCATTTGGTGGAAATCCGGCTGCTGTGTGCATTCTCTCGAGCGAGAGAGAGGACTCATGGCTGCAACGCGTTGCCAAGGAATTCAATCTCTCGGAAACCGCATTCTTAGTAGATCAATCTCGCGACGAACTCGCGGAAGAGGCAGAGTACAATTTGCGATGGTTCACGCCCAAAGTTGAGGTAACTATTCTTTAGATGGTTTCTTTTGCCTTGTTTCTACTAAGTCTGCGATTTCTTCTCTATTTGTAGGTTGATCTGTGTGGACATGCAACACTAGCTGCTGCTCACACTCTCTTCATGAATCACGTCCAGAAGACCTCGATCGTTTTCCATACCAGGTCTGGCGCATTAAAAGCTCGCAAAGTCACAGGCTATGGAGATGCCGAACAAAATCCTCCTTCATCGCTCAAAGCACAAGGCCTTCTGGAGCTTGACTTCCCTCTAGCTTTGGCAACACCGTGTTCTTCTCCGGAAACCACCCGTGTCTCAAACAGCCTTGGAATATCAAGCGTTGTTTGGTGTGGCAAGACAGACTTGGGAGATTATCTGGTGAGACAATATTCTCTATCTCAGCTTCTTCACAAGTTTTGTGTGACTAGGTGGAGCTTGAGAGCAGCGAGCAAGTGATGGAGATTGTCCCCAACTTTGACGCCATGCTCGATTTTCCAGGCCGAGGTGGAGTGATTGTCACTTCTCAAGCTCCATCCGAGAGTGCGGACGATTTCGTGTCGAGGTTTTTCTGTCCAAAGTCGGGTATACTGGAGGTGAGCTACAATGAAAATAGTTCCTTTTTGAAAAGCTATGGTATTTTTGTAGGATCCAGTGACCGGAAGCGCGCACTGTACACTGGGTCCTTACTGGGCCGAGAAACTCGAAAAGAACAGCGTGCGAGGATATCAGGCAAGACGAAGTATTTAGTTTCTCTCAAATGAAGCCATGGTTTTCTAGGGCTTGGAGCGAGGAGGACGCGTGTTAGTAACAGTGGACAAAGCCAATGGTAGAGCACACTTGCAGGGCAGTGCGGTCATTACAATGGCCGGAGTTTTGCTTGTCGATGCATGACATGGCTTCGCGACCTTCAATAATTCGTTATTGGTTTTCTGTAATAATACCGTTAAATTAAAACAAATAAATCCAAACCATAACCTTACCAAAGTATTAACTCGCCGCATGTCATCAATGTTTTCGTGCGAGGACTTGACTTGCCGTTGAAATGTCAATAATGTTCTACGTAGGCAGCAATCTACAGCAACTCGCATTGCATTTTTACAACTCCCCGACTGATTCGTTCATGCGCGTGTCCTCAGCGGTAGAATGCTTGACCGCCGAGGCTCGAGGCCCCGACGTGTTCCCGATGGTCAGCTCTCGAGTCATGAAGTTCTTGCCCTTGCACAATTGAGAAATATCAAGTCTAGACTCTGGGAATGTCCAAGAAACCGCACTAACAAGCGAATTGAGTGGAACTTTCTCGTACCAAACACTTACATTTCTCACCATTGGGCCATCCCAAGTGAAGAACACTGTTATAAGCTTTGGCTGGAGTGCAAAAAAGTAAGTGACAAATATTCTACATGTTTCAATGAATGTATTGTTTAGGCCCGGGATTAAACCGGGGACCTCTAGTGTGTGAGACTAGCGTGATGACCAACTACACCATCCTCATTCATATGTCTTTGCCCACAAAAGATTCTTTTAGCATGAAGAACAAACTTTGTATCTCCACTATTTTTCTCTCAATCATTGGAAGGTAGACGCTGCAAATGTTCTTGCAAAATTCAAATGGTTTGTTGCTGATGAAGGCTGTGCTCAAGATATGCAGACCTCTTCTTGACAATAGAGCTTCACGATATGCTTATATTAACGCAGGTGTGACAAACCACGAAGTGGATGTAGATCCACGCTACACGTTCACTGGCGAATTCAAAGTGAACGACGTCCTCGAAATGATAAAGAAGAAGTGTATCTGTGTGGAGTCGATTCAGGAGATTTCTGACACAGACAAGACACCAGCTGTTGCTGCTCTTCTTGCTGCTAGTTTCATCAAGAGTGGTCTGAAGTGTGACCGTCGATAGAAGTTTTAAGTTCTTTTTATCGCCAATTCTTTGCTTTCTGTGTCAGCTCAATCTCAAGAGTTGTCATATGTGGATCCATGGAATATAAGGATGGGAGTAAAAACATCGTTGCGTCCTGGAAGTGGAACTCTTCCATAAAAACTATATGAATTCCTCAATTGTAGCACTCTTCTCGGTGGCCTTTAGGTTGTCGTCCACCTTGTGAAGTTGTAAATTACTTCGCTTTCTGCAAAACCTGGAAATTTGAGAGAGAATAAAAAAGCACGACATTTGCTGTTCAAAAGAACAGCAAACCTGTAGACTTTATCAAAAGCCTTAATTCATTGTACCGCCGTTGGACAAAGATACACTATCTCACATCATGTCAAAGTCAATTTTTATCAACGGGGACTTGACTTGACCGCTGAATAGTCAAGCGCACGTGTGTCAACAGCCTTGAAATTTAAACATTGCCGCTCCCGCCAAGATGGGAGGACCACTTCAACGTAGCACTCGCGGTGTTATCAAAAAGAAATAGATGCTACAATTATAGATGCCAAAAGCAACTCCCGGAGGCTTCTATGCGTGACTTGGCGTTAGACCAGGTATTTCTTTCACCTAATTTTTGTAATCCCGAGCACACCATCGCAACAGGAGATGCATATTCATTCATTCATTAACTCTTTACAAGGTCTTGTAGTGCCCTTATAGTGAGTTGTTTTGATGATGAAAAGAACATCATCTCAATCCCAGCAAAACTCAAGTGGCCCACCTGCAAGATGTCGATGCAAATGTTGCCGTGCTGATCGACATTGGGATGGAAACATGGCGTCTCAAGGTGGCTTGAATGGATAATTGGTGGGAAAGCGCAGCAAGAGCTTGAAAGAGAGACCTTCATACACAGTCTCCCTTGATGATGCCAATCCATGTAAAGATGTTGTCACCATGTGGAAACGCTGAAATTCTGGGATCCCTGCAAGGCTATAGCAAGATCAAAACATAGAAGACACCACTGAGACCAGCTAAGAAAGAAGAAACAATGAGAGCCTTCCAGCCCTTCACAAACCAAATGGAATAAATCAAGAGCAATCAAGCATAAACATACCAAGTTCATCTTCTCGCATATCTCCTCTTCATCACGCGCCAATCGCAATCCTGGATCTTCGCCGCCGCTCTTTTTTCCTTTGCCAGGAAAACCAACTAAAAATTCCCCCACACAAGCACACCTCTCGAATGGCCCACATTTGTTAATAAAAGACAGTGCTCTCTGGCCGCGTATCACCTCGACCGCCTATCGCTTATCGCCCTATCGCTTATCGCTTATCGGGCTGGTAAAGTGGTCGCCGATAGTGGTTTTTTTTTGCTTTGCTTGTCATCTGTCGGCTATCCAAATAGCCGCATCGGCAGGGAGGGAGGGCTTGATACTATAAACCCTAAAAGGACTTTCAAACAGCTGCTCCTCCGCCGCGCTGCCACCGCGCTCCAGCACGCTGCGCCGCTTCCCGCCACAGCGCAATCATCCTCCGCCCACCATTCTCTGCGTCACTACGCCTTTACCCGCGGGAATGCGGGAACTCAAATTTGTAAATAATTTTAACTGGAATTAATTTCAATTATAAAGGTTCATGTGATTCCAGCATTAGGAGGAAGAGCAGCAGCAGCAGCAGCAATCGTCCTTTGGCTTCGGCTTGGGCTTTTCCACCTTGATCTCCTGGAAGGATTCCACAGATATACACTTCCGTTTCTTCTCGATGGCTTTGAAGATGTCGTCCACCTTGAAATCACCTGTGAAGGTGTAAAGGGGATCTTTAACCTCCACTTTCTTCACACCTGCAAGAGCACGAAGATCTCTTGATCAGCGATCACAGCATCGAAATTTGGGAGAATTCGCGGAATCTACACTCACCGGAGACGCCGTGATAGATCTGAGACATCATCTGGTCCTTGCATTTGTTGCAAGAGTCCACTTTCAAGACAACCTGCAGCGAAGAGCTCGAGATCAAACAAGGTTCAAGGAAATCAGTGGCGCAGTGCTCACCTTCCAAGTCATCTTGATTGTCTAAGAATTCGACTGAGATTCAGATCACAACTCACAACTTGAGACACTAGATTATCGCGATCAACCAGAGGTGGGGAGACGGAGAAGCAGAAGAGAAGAGGGCCCTGCTGCTGACTGGGGAGACGTCATGAATTTATATCCGAGAAGATTCCCAACAGGTCCGAGAAGCAGAAGAGAAGAGGGCCCTGCTGGGAGACGTCATGAATTTTTGATCGAGAAGATTTCCAACACGATGAAGTGCTCCTTCGTGGAAATGAATTTGCTTTTTTCCTCAGATGCAAAACTTTTTTGACTGGAAAGCATTAAAAGTTAGCGCGTAGGTCCTGAGAAATCCCTAGGTCGAGAGTTCGAGCCTCTCTCACCCCAATTCCATTTTCTTTTTCTGCCAACTTTTTCAAATCCTTTACCATTTGCCCAAGAGCCCTAGAATCGCCCTAATTTTTGAACCGTTGCACAGGAAATGTAGGGCTTGATCTTTCTTGGAGCGATGGATTGGTCCGCGCTGCCGCTCGACGTCTTCCTCCAGATCTTCCGGTACCACGCTCTCGATTTCCTCTTCTTGCTGGCGATCTCAGGCGTGTGCAAGACCTGGCGCGCTCACACCGCCTGGATCGGCACGCTCGTCGTGCGATGGCCGCCGGTGGAAGATCGCCCCCAATTCGACAACCAGGGCGTCATGATCCAGAAGGAGCGCCGCCGAATCTGTGGCAACCACGGCGTGGAGCTCCACCTCTGCGATTGCGTCCACGGCGCCATCTCCAGCGTCATCGCGCGCTTCCGCAAGGTATGGTACCTGGATCTTTGCTGCACGGAGATTTGTCCCCGCGGACCCACGGCAGTGCAAGTCGCCAAGCTCCGCGACGCCGACTGGGCCAAGGTTGTCAAGTCGCTCCTCCATCTCGAGCTCGCGGCCGGGGTGGTGGATTCCAGGGCCATGAATCACATCCTCCAGTGCAGCGATCTCCGCGAGCTACGGCTCGTGAGTTTCGAGTTCGCGGATGGATTGGAGTACCCGCTGCTCGGGGATGCCGGCGAGTTCTCGAGCTCCAGCGGCGTTTTGGAGAATCTCTGCCGGCTTTACATCCTCACGTCCTCCATGCAAGAGGAGGCGCTCAAGAGGTTCCTGGAGCGCTGCCCGGAGGTGGAGGAGATCGAGCTCAACGCTTGCGGCGCCAAGAGCGAGAGGGAGTTTAACTTCGAAGCTCCCACCAACTTACACGACTATGATCTCAAGCTCACGTCCTTTAGCCGGTTCAAGAGGGTGAGAGCTGCTGGTGCTCGGCGGCTGGAGATTCTTGGGGGCCAGCTCTTGATCCTGGAGGAGGCGGAGTGTGTCGAGGAACTGGCGGTGCTGCCCGTGTACATAGAATTCGCGGAGCCCGAAGCCATGAAGAACTTCTGGAGGCTGACGCTCAAGGGGAGCTTTTGGGAAGTCCATGAAGCTATGTCGGCTTGCCAGACGGCTCCCACGACCAAGAGGCTTTGTCTGGACGATGATTTTGGAGTCTACTTTTTCCCGTACGTGCAGAGAGATGAAAACGACGACTCGGTCGAGTGCTACAAGCTTTTCTCGCTCATGTTTCGGGGAGGTTCTCTGGAGGAGCTGGAACTCAAGTATGGTTTCCTTTGCAGGGTAAGTTCTTACCTTCTCTTGTCGTTGCATGACTTGACAATGGTTTGGTTTTTCTTGTTTTCAGATGTGGCTAAACGAGCAACAGGAAGAACTGAGTGAGCTTCTGCCGAAAATGCCAAAGATTGAGATCCTCGTTCTGGACCTCCACGTACGTCCCGAGAAGGAGCCCAACATTCCGAGGTTTGCAGATTCAGTCGAGTCGCTCATCAGCTCTTGCAACATGGATTGGATCTCGCTAAGCTTCGGCGGGGACAACAACGAGGACGTCAACTTCCACCGGGAGTGTTTTGACAAGGAGCTGTTTTCTTCGGTTGTACAGAATGGTAATTTTCTTTCTTTGTTTCCGCAAGTTCTTGCTGATACACTTTCTTTTTCTGTTATTTGCAACAGTTGTGCGCCATGGAAACCCCGGACC